CCCTCATACCGCAGTGTTTAATTCGGGTGTTTATGAATGTGGCACTCAGCACCGAGCACATCCTAGCATGCCACTTATCACAAACGTATTTTCACCTGTTTGCTCCCAGATCCTTCCTTGACTTGCCCTGTTCTCCGGAGACGCTGCCTCCTGGGGACTGTGCCTCCTCTGGGTCTAATCATGGGAAGGCCTTGGAGGGACAAAACAGGTCTGAAGCAAAGGGGAACTCAGAATGTCTCCATTCTCTGCATTAGACATAGTCATGTCTCTTCTGTGGCCCTAGCTCTTACTGGCCAGGCCCATTAAGCTCTGTTGGGTGGCCCTGCACACAGGGTTCCAGTATCAACATCTGCCTTCTTATACTGAGAGTTAGGGGTTTCCTGTCATTGCTGAGTTCCTATGCCTCCTGCTCCTTCCTTCACCTGTATAACCAATTGCATGCCTATGCTTCTTGTATTTAAATGCTTAAACCATCTTATAGTTATACTTGGAATACACTTCCAAGTTGGCATTTGGAGGACATTTGCTGAATTTTATTGCCTAATTCCAAACCAACTTCTATCTGGGCATCTCTTTTTTCAGTGCCACAGGGGTGAGTCCTGTAGCAGTTATCTAATGCATAATAACATCACCTGAGGTTCCTTTAGGGTAATGACAAATTTCCCCAAAATTCAGAAGTTTGAAACAGTTAGTGTTCGTGAGAGTCCACAAGTCTAAGGGTTGGCTGAGTGGTTCTTCCAGACCCAGCAGGACTCACTCAGACACCTGTGGTCAGCTGTATGTCAGCTGGGTGACCTGACAAGAGACAACTGATGCAAACCAACTACCCTGTGTGTTTCTCATCCGAGACAGGGAGCTCAGGCATGTTCTCATGGCAATCACAGAAGAGCAGGGAAACACACATAACAACTACTTTTTCAAATTGATATATATATGCAGCATATCTGACAACATTCCACAGGGTAAAACATGTCACATGACCAAAAACAGGATCCAAAAGCACATAAAAATATTCAGCCTCTTCAGGGGCAGAACTACAGTGACATGATAAAAGGTAGATAAGGAAAAGGATAAAGCACTGGGCCTAGTGTTAACAATGCTATGTTGTAGATTTAAAAAATAATAATAATAACTTTTAAGAGGATAGCTCTCATGTTAAGTGTCTTACCACAATTTTAAAAAAGAAAACAAAAAGGCAAACTACAGAAAAAAAAAATCTGTCCTGCATTAACAAAGCTTTCTCAAGCAAAACCAAAAGAATTAGCGTCTGTGGCATCAGTATACCATTGTCAATAAGAAAGTATTCATCAACCCAGCAGAAAAAATATACATGGATAAATCATAGAGAGAAAGACAGAAGGAAGGAAAGAAAGAAGGAAAAGGTGGAAGATAAATTCACAGAATAAAACAAAGGCTTTTAAAGATATCAAAAGATTCTCAACTTTATTTACCCCAGAGATGTGTGAGTTCAAACTCACTATCTGCTATCAAATATAAAGAATAATGTTGGATAACATATTGTGTTATCAAAGGTATGGGGAAACAGTGACTTTCAGACACAGAATATAAACTGAAACAACCTCTGTGGAGTCTAATTCATAAATATCAATCAAAATGTAAAAGCGTGCATACTCATTAAATAGCCAATTCTATTTCTCCAGATTTGTCCTACACATTACCTTATGGGTGAGAACCGGCACTTGTGCATGGTGATACACTGAAGTCCTATTTGGAATAGCAAAAGGAAAGACTTCACTGGCCTTCAATAAGTGTGATTTTGATTTAATGATATAAGGAGATACTATGTAACTGTCAAGATAAAATTTTAAAAGAATGTATAAGACCTTTTAAAACAAGCAAAAGAGACTAGGGCTGTAGCTGAGTGGTAGAGTTCTTGCCTAGTGTGTGGGAGGCATTGGGTTCCATCCCCAGGACCATCACAGATAAGGAATGTCAGCTACTCATGCCACTCAGTCTATCTCAGGCTACAGACATCAGATTCAAGATGAATATAATGAACTTTTGCCATGTCATTAACCCTGTAGAAATAAATTCAATATAAATGTAACTCCTTTAAAACTTTGCAATAAAATGCTCATTATGTATTTGCCAGTTTATTCTGTGCAGTTTCATTTGCCCAGAGTTTCTGCTCTCTCCCCCCAAAATAGACCAAATAAAGAGCCATTTATAAATAACAGATTAATAAACCAAGTCAAAAGGACTTTATTTATCCTTTAACCTTCAATTTGCGTTAATTGGGAGCAGCCATGGGAATTAGTGCCAACCTCACCTCGGGTCAGATGACCTACCAAAATGAACTGTTTCATGCCCAGAAATAAATGTCTTCCAAATATAAATATGAATCCGTTACAAAACAGATTCTTTTCAAACTACAAAATAACTGCACTGTTAATATATTTGTGCCCCAGTTAAAAATCTGTAATGAACGCATGCTCTGAGCTAAAGTTGTCCAGGGGAGCGATTCTCATTTTTTGCCTTGAAACTCATGTAAATAAAACTGGGCAGTCTCCTGAGAGCCATGCGCGAATTCACAGCTTCTTCTTTTTCTAAAGAGAAGACAAATTTAAAATGGATATGTTGAAGCTGGAAAGGCTTGGGATGTGAYCTGGCTCCTTTAAATTTCATGACAAGGGGAATCACACTGAATTTGTCTTCTTTGAAGGGCTCTGATACGATTTGTTCTCAGAGACAAATCGTGGAAAAAAGATGCTCTGTTTGTATTACAGCAAAATTTGGAAGTCACCTCAGTGACACTGTTTTTCAGTTTCTTCTCAGCAGTTTTGTCTTTCAAACCTGAGCCTGTTTTCACAAGGCCCATGACATCAGTCTGCCTGGGTGAGATCCCTGCTAGGCTCTTGTTCACTGTTTTGACTTTGGACAAAATGTCTAACCTTTCTCTGCCTCTTTTTTTCTCATCTGGAAAATGGATTTTAAATAATTTTACCTACCTCATATCATGAGGATTAAATTGTGAAATGAAGTGAAATAAGTAGCACAACCCAGCCCACAAACTGCTGAATACATGTTACATATTAATGCTTATTGTTGTTAATTACATCAGAATTCATTTTGTTTTCATGGGGTCAAGTTCATATATATTCTTCAAAGTCTATATCAGACTTATACTTTCAAATATGTTTATATATATATGTGTGTGTATATGTATACACATAAATATGTTGTGTTTATGCAAAAGGCACTGTTTATTCTTAGACATTAATGTCAGGGTAAGGGTATATATATTTACTCAAAATTTGCACAATGTCATAACAACAATTAYAAACATGAGCTACTTCTTGGTTTGTTAATCTCCTCTTTTGAGCATGCTTTTAGGAGAGAGCATGCTTTTAAATGTTTTGGTCTTCAACTTCATGCTATCAGGGTTTCTGATGGTCTAGTAAACAGGGAAGTTGAAGGTGTCAGATTAGAAGGCTTATGACAAGAATAGAAATCTTGAAGGAATGGGATAAATACAACTTCAGAATCTTCCTATAGATTGTTTAAAATGGAAGAAAATTAATAACAAGCCAGTAAATTTAAAATAAAAATATGCATTGACTTTCTACATTTGGAGTGTGTGTTTTGCACTGTTATAATGTGGCAGAGTCACAGTTAAACACAAGGCAAGGTGACATCCTCAGGAAGCCCAGAGTGGAGCTGGGGATGCAGCTCAGTGGCAAAGCACTTGCCTAGAAGCCCAGAGTTGAGTAGCAAAGAAAATCTGCACATACACACATGCATAAGCACACCCACACATAACCAACAATCACTTTAATGATATAACTAGTGCTTTTATGGTGCCATAAACGATGGGTGTTGGGGGGAAAGACAATAACCAAGTATATATTTATTCAACTCAGCAGTTAAAGGGAATGAGCTGCTCTAGATGATCAGGGTTAAAGCTCACAGGCATAATGTGGAGTCACAAATCTAGATGGAGAGATACATATAGAGAGATTCATATCACACAGGTAATTAAAAACACACAAACACTGTTCATCGCCCTGGAAACATAGATATGTATGTGAATGCAAAAAAAAAAAAGTGTTCTGGAAAGGTATAAACAGATTTATGAACTGGGCTTAGGGTAGACTGGTCAAGGAGATTATACCTCTGCTCTATTTTTCTTAATTGAACACAAAGAACAGGAATTACAAAAAAAAAAAAAAAATGTTAACAGTGATCCAATCTGGGTGGTAGGAACCCAGATTTTCTCCTGACCTCAGGTTTTCCATGATTTCTAAGTTCACCTTAACAGACACTACAAAAATCACGGGGCCCCAGTTGAAAAGCAGTTTCTCACTTGCAGTACAGACAGACACCGAAAGACATCTGCTGCCACATGAACGGATGCCACATCTGTTTGGCCGCCCCAGTCATCTTGTTTGTGTCTGTGGGAKGTATTCCCGAAATCTAGATGGCTCCATAGCTTGGAGCTTGGGTGGCTCCCCTGACATATGCCCTGATAGATCTGCCCACAGGTGCCACCCAGCAGTGTCTCTGCCATGACAGGGATGCAGCTTTTACCCAAGTCCTAGCCCATGACCCAGCCTCTGACATAAAGCTGGGTCCACTTGAGCACAATATTCCTGATGGGTTTGAAATTCACATTTGTCTTTCAGTCATCTTCCCAGGCTTGGGATCCAAAACTCATGGGTCTTGTTCCTGAAATTCCCCCAGAGAAATAGGTCTTTGGGAGCCAGGGAAGTTGTCCCATGCCTATACTATGTGATTACAGCCCTTGTGTTCAGGTCCCTTTCCCTGAAACCATGTCCCCTTCAGAGTGAGATTTTTATCTTAAGTCAATTTGCATTTATTCAAAATCAGAGACAGCTCTGAAACCAGAAACTATTTAAGCATCGAAATCAGAGCAGCTGCAGATTAATCAAATGTTGGGAAAGTTTTAAAAACAACAACAAAAAAAAAAAAAAAAAAGAAAACCAACTTATATTTATCTTCTTGTGTTTCCTTTTCTCCAGGTCTGCGGTTTCCCTCCCGTCGGCTGACCTGCGTGGTGCCAAGTTCCACACGTGATCGAATGACGAAGAAGGTCAGATGCCAGGCTTGAGTTGGCTGTTTGCAAATTTGTGATTTTGACACTCTTGTACATTACAGGAACTGTCTTCTGATTGGTTGCATTGCTGCTCTTGTTATGTAACATAGTGAACTCTGTAGGTATTTGGGAGAAACAGAAAACATTAATTGGCCTGGAAAAATAAAAGCATTAGAGAAAAGGAAGGGTAGCAATTCACTGAGGGAAAGAATAATCATAGTACAGTGGAAAAAACACTGTAGTATGATTTTTCACTTGTTTTTCAACAACAGTCCTCTCCCATGGATCTATTCCCTCATTCCATCACAGAATGCTAAAACAGACAAACAAACAAAAACCATAAGAATTAGATGAGCCATTTGGTGAGAGCAAGTCAGAGAGGGCTAAGCCCCTGTGCAGCGCTATTCTTCTTTCTCTGCTGATAAATTCTCTGACTTCTCTTTTCTTCTTGAGGTGCGCATTAACATCAGGCAGCCGGCTGGAACTCGGGGTTATAATTTGGAGCCCAAGTTTGTTTTCATTATTAGAACAACACAGTTTCAGTTTGTCTCTGCATTTAAGGTTGTGTCAGCACTTTCCTTTCTGTGTTTATTATTTTTAGCAGTTTAAAAGCTCACCATGAAAAAAAAAAATGGCTTTCTGGCAGGAGGGTAACATCCAGGCTTGGCCAGGGCCTGGTGGAGTCTATAGAAATGCTCACTGGCTGCCGGAATCGGCTCTTTTGAATGCTGTCTTTGTGCCTCCCCTCACCCATGGCCTCTGGCCTATTGTCTAGGCGCCTCGGTTGGACTGGTGCTATCTGATTGTAACCAGTACTAATATTACAGTGCTTGGTGCCCAGGCCCTCCCTCGGGGAGGGGGGGGGCCCTGTCTGGCTGCCTCTGTCTTCCAACCCTCCCAACCCTCCCTGGAGGGGACCAGTCACAGTTCTCATATCAGAAAACACGAATGGTGATTTATGGAACATTCTGGAAAAGGAGTCATTAAGAGTCTTTGAGACCCGTGGTTCTCATATATAGGAGAGTTCCACTCCTCAACCCCTTCTTCATCCCACCCCCAATCAAGGTGACTTCTGTGGTCCTCCACCCCCACCAGGAAACCCAGGGCATCTCAGAATAGCTGCACACATATTTGCAGGGYAGTTCCCTTAATATACAGATGAGGAAGCTAAGGAGAGTTTTCTGTAGATACTCAAAACATGAGGCATTAGGTCCAAAAGAGTGCACAGCCTACGAATCAATTTTACATAGTTCTAGAAAAGGCATAACCAATGAATGGCGATAGCAATCAAAACAGTGGTTACCTTGGGAGGGAAAAGGGGATTGATGGATAAGAAGCACAGGGGAATTTTCTGGAATGATGGAAATGTATATCTTTATACAAGTGTGGGTTGCATGTCGTTTATCAAGACCCATCTGTGCATTTTAATCTATGTAAATTATACTTCCATTAACAATAAAAACAAAGAGGGAACGTAAAGCAAAAAATAAACTAGACATTTAGTTAATGGAAATATTGTCTCCAGAAATTGACTGTGATCAATTTTCTTAAAGCTATTTGGGCTATTTATTGAGTCGGGTCTAAGATCATTATATAAAATTTCTGAAAATCAGAGACTATGCTGTTGTTCTTCCAGTATTTTCTTTGTCCAATAATCACAAARACAGGGGAAAATTTTTTTCTCAGATAATTTCACACAGTGAATCACTGAATACGCTTTGGAGTGTCCCGACCTGTAACATGGTTCAGGTGTGCTCCATGGGAGTTTGGGGAGTGGTCCTGATTACAACCCTTGATTCTACAGCCACAGAAGCCAAAGTTCCAGGATCCTTACAGAGGCACCATTTTCAAGATGGGGTCCTCTGAGTTTTAGTGACTCTGTGACTTTTTTCTCCACTGCCAAGAGTGCTTTGGGGTGAGGACAATTTTATTGGTTTAGATATTGGTGCCTCTCTATCAAATCCTATCTATATAAAGGGATCCACAAGTAAACACATGTGACGTATATTACACATATTACATTTCCATTCTGGTTTATAGTATTTCCTTAGTCAGCCAAATGATATGGAATGATAAAACTTTAAGAATTAGGCTTTCTCCTTCTAATCCATGCTGATAGACATGTACATGAGTCAGCTTTTTGTTTTGTTGCTGTGCCACAAATACCCAACAAGAACAACTTAGAGGAAGCAGAGTTTATTTTGAACTTATAGGTTTCAAGGTTCAGTCCATGGTCCACCAACTCCATCACTCCAGGCCCAAGGTGAGCCAGAGCCACATGGCAGAATCAAGTGGCAGAGGAAGCTGCTCACCTCATGGTAGCCAGGAATCAGAGAGAAGGAGGAGCTGGAGTCACAAGACATTATCCCTAAGGGCGTGCCCCCTGACACCCACTTCCTCCAGTCATGCCCCACCCGTGTACAGTTACCACCCAGTGCAGTAGTCCTTCCAAATTATTAGCCCATAAAATGACTTAGTCCATTTATCAGGTCGTGATGCACATAATCTAATCATTTCACCCCTGAACAGTTCTCCATTGACACAGGAGCTGTGTGGGGACACCTCACATCTAAACCATCGCAGTGTGAGTCCAGGCCTGGCACCGTTAGGACAATTCTGCAGGATCATGATGATCCTGAGTGAGCCTCAGAGTGATGGATAGTCTTAGTGCCAACTACACCTCMCCCAAAAGAAAAATCCCTTCTCAGCCTCTTTCCAGAACTTTGAATTTAATCAGAAATATTGTGAATAAGAGCCAAGATCAAAATACGCTCGGCGCCCTCTGGAGGTGCTGAGTGTATAAATGGCGATGGGTGGCTTCCATCCAATGCCACCTGATCATTGCCAGAGAAATGAGATGCCATAGTGGGACCAGGTCCCTGGAGTTCCAGAAGATGCTTTTCTGTAATTTAGGATTGAATATTGTCCAGTAATCTCTGTTTCACAGATATAAACCTCGTTTCGGTCATGCTTTCCTTTGACAAGTACTATTAATAATGCTCCAGAAATTCTTCCTAATGTTTCAATTTGCTCCTACACATCTGAGTGTTTTTTCAGTGAACTATAAAATGTAATATTCCTCTCATGTGTCTTACCAGAGCAGAATTTCTGGTGGCTGGGGGTAAAAGACAGGCCTTCACTGAAACCTAGAAAATGGGCCATCTTGGATTCATTGTGTTTGGGGCAAATATCAAGTACCATCAAATAGTTGCCCTTTGACCTAGCTCCTTGCCATAAGGGGTTTGACTCTCTCTAACAAGCACCTTCCATCTCCCTGAAAAACTTCKAAGGGACCTTATTTAAATTCTCCCATTTATTCTAGAAGCCAGGCAATAAAATGGAAGATAATTATTTTGGTTGAAATTCAGCTAAGGACAGASAGCAGGGCAGAGGAGACTCAGAAGCCAACCCTCCCTTTCAGTGCCTGTTGAGGCTGGCAGAGCAAAGAAACTGGTTTTTGAAAAGGAAATGGTGACATTGGTAGGAAGTAGCAAGAAAGAGTCATATGGAGCCAGAGCAGGAAGGATTTGAAGGTACTCAAATATTCCAGCCTTTGAGGCTGTTACTTTTCTTCAGAAAAGACAAACTGTCTACTGCTTGAGTGATTTCCCAACAAAAAGCCAAAGCCCTTGCTCACCCCCAACACAGATCCACATGAACACAAGTTTAATTCCCTAATGATGCGATGGCAGAACTGACTCATCTGCTAAAATGATTTTTTTTTCTATAATCAGGACATTTTTAACCCACACATACCATGTTTTGCCTGCATGTGACACAAATTTCCTAATCAAATCAAATTTAATTTAGCAAGAGTTTTCTCCAACCAGTTTATTTTAATGTGCATAAGAGCAGAAGTGAAATTAAATTACCTAATATAAGAATTTGAGCAGAACTTCCTTTTTTWAAAAAATTCCATTTGAAAGGACGTGTTTCACGTCATTGGGAGTCAACTTAACCAAATGGAAAATACCAAGGCAGTAATTGTCTTCTCCATTCCAGTGACTGTGGGCAAGAGGTCCTCCTGGAGCCAGTGTTCTCAAAATGTCTTTTTCCTCTCTTTCTTTCTTTCCTTCTTTTTTCTTGTGCATAATGCAACATGTGTAGTCAGATTTCAGCTATTCCTGAGCATGGGAATGAGGGTTAAATGGCAATAATTAAAGTTCAACTTATTGACATTTTTCCCACTAATGTTTATAAGAAGCAACTGGGAAGGACTTTTCACAACTGGGAAAATATCCTGGTTTGAGTTTCATCTCCTTTTCCTGTCTCCTATTTTCTCTATTGGTACCATTGAGTTAGTAACAGTTTTAAAAAAAATCAGTCTGGCCAAAAAATAGCAAACACTTTGATGTGCATATCATTTTTATTCTCAGTTTCTGGGCAGGAAAACTGAGGGGGAAATGGAGCAATGAATGTCTAAACCTTCATCGTGTTGGGTGTTATCTGAGATCATCGGCCCATCTGTAAGCCACCATTTATAAGAAGAGGAGCAGTGGATTGAAACTAATTAACATATCATATATATCTGGAAAATAGCTAAATTTATGAAGAGAATAAACATTAGAGCCTTCCATAATAGAAAACCATAAACAATGACTTAAACACACTCAAAAGCCTCTTTTTCTCTCCAGATCAGGAGGCATGATTCTATGATCATCCAGCACTCAGACTTCTTTCTTGCTGAATTGCTGAATTGCTTAGTCTTGGCATGTGGCTTTATTCTCAAGGTTCTTTTTTGGTTCAAGATAGTTACGGGAGCTCTAGCCCTTGCATATAAATTCTAGGCAAAAAAAATGGGAACAGGGAGATAAAAGGTACCCATTATCAGCTATGTGTTTCCACTGTAGAGGACCTTTTTAGAATTCTCTCTCACAATTTCTACCTATTATCTCGTTGGCTGACTCCATGGTACAAGAGAAGCTGGAAAATGCTACTGAGTACCTTTCCACCCAAGGTGAAAGTGGAATCTGGTTAGGAAGAAACATGTGGAGGCA